AGGATAATATCCATATGCCTACAGGGAAAATCAGTTAATACTATTATTATTAAAATTTATGCACAAACCACCAAAGCGAAAGATGAGAAAATTGAAGATTTTTACCAATTTCTGTCTGAAATTGACCAAATATGCAATCAAGATGTGCCGATTATCACTGGTGACTGGAATGCAAAAGTTGGCAACAAAGAAAAAACGCCGGTAGTTTGAAAATTTGGCCTCAGTGACAGAAATAACGCTGGAGATCACATGATAGAATTTTGCAAGACCAACGACGCTTTCATTGCAAATACCTTTTTTCAACAACACAAATGGTGGCTACACACGTGGACTTTGCCAGATAGAATACACAGGAATCAGACTGACTACATCTGTGGCAAGAGGCGTTGGAAAAGCTCAATATCATCAGCCAAAACAAGGCCAAGAGCTGATTGTGGAACAGACCATCAACTGCTCATATGCAAGTTCAACTTGAAGTTGAAGACAATTGAAACAAATCCACGAGAGCCAAAATATGACCTTGACTATATCCCTCCTGAATTTAGAGACCATCTAAAGAATAGATTTGATGCATTGAACACCAGTGACTGAAAACCAGAGGAATTATGGGACATCAAGAACATCATCCATGAAGAAAGCAAGAGGTCATTAAAAAAGATGAGAAAGGAAGAAAAGACAAAAATGAATGTCAGAAGACACTCTGAAACTTGCCTTTGAGCAGAGAGTAGCTAAAGTAAATGGGAACAATAACAAGATAAGAGCTGCACAGAAGATTTCAAAGAGCAGCTCAAGAAGATAAAGCCAATTACTATAATGAAATGGGCAAAGACCTGGAGTTAGAAAACCAAAAGGGAAGAACATGCTTGGCATTTCTCAAGCTGAAAGAACTGAGGAAAATTTTAAGCCTCGAGTTGCAATATTGAAAGATTTTATGGGCAAAATACTGAATGATGCAGGAAGCATCAAAAGAAGATGGAAGGAATATACAGAGTCACTGTACCAAAAAGAATTGGTCAATCCTCATCCATTTCAGGAGGTGGCATATGATCAAGAACCAATGTTACTGAAGGAAGAAGTCGAAGCTGCAGTGAAGGAGGTGGTGAAGAACAAGGCTCCAGGAATTGATGGGATACTCATTGAGATGTTTCAACAAATGGATGTCCCACTGGAGGCACTCACTGGGCTATGCCAAGAGATTTGGAAGATAGCTATCTGGCTAACTGACTGGAAGAGATCTATATTTGTACCCATTCCAAAGAAAGGTGATCCCACAGAACATGGACATTATTGAACAATATCATTAATATCACATGCAAGTAAAATCTTACTGAAGATAATTCAAAAATGGTTGCAGCAATATATTGACAGAGAACTTCCAGAAATGCAAGCTGGATTCAGAAGAGGATGTGGAACAAGGGATAGCATTGCTGATGTCAGATGGATCTTGGCTGAAAGCAAAGAATACCAGAAAGATGTTTACTTATGTTTTATTGACTATGCAAAAGCATTTGATTATGTGGATCATAACAGATTATGGATAACATTGAGAAGAATGAGAATTCCAGAACACTTAATTGTACTCATGAGGAACCTGTACATAGACCAGGAGTCTGTTGTTCGAACACAACAAAGGGACACTGCATGGTTTAAAATCAAGAAGGGAGTAGATCAGGGTTGTATCCTTTCCCCACACTTATTCAATCCATATGCTGAACAAATAATCCAAGAAGCTGGACTATATGAAGAAGAACGTGGCATCAGGATTGGAAGAAAACTCATTAACACCTGCAATACGCTGACAACACAACTTTGCTTGCTGAAAGTGAGGATGACCTGAGGCACTTACTGATGAAGATTGAAGAATACAGCCTGCAGTATGGATTACATCTCAATCTAAAGAAAACAAAAATCCTCACAACTGGACCTATAAGCAGCATCACAATAAATGGAGAAAAGTTTGAAGTTGTCAAGACTTCACTTTGCTTGGTTCTACAGTCGACGCCAATGGAAGCAGCGGTTAGGACATGAGACAATGTATGTTGTTGTTGTTGTTATGTGCCGTCGAGTCAGCCCTGACTCATAGCGACCCCTCCTTGGGTTTCCGAAGCAGTATCACTACGGAAGTAGGATTGCCCAACCTTCTTTCCGAGGAGTGGCTGGTGGGTTTGAACCACCAGCCTTCTGGTTAGCAGTCAAGTGCCTTAGCCACTATGCTACCAGAGCTCCTGAGACAATGTATAGTACTGGGCTAGTCAGCTTCAAGGGACCTCTTTCAAGTGCTGAAGAGCAAAGATGTCTCCTTGAGAACTAAGGTGCACCTGACACAAGCCATGGTATTTTCAATTGCCTCATATGCATGTGAGAGCTGGACAGTGAATAAGGAAGACCGAAGAAGAGTTGATGCTGTTGAGTTGTGGTGTTGGCAAAGAATGCTGAAAGTACCATGGACTGCTAAAAGAACTAACAAATCTGTCCTGGAAGAAGTGTAGCTGGAATGCTCCTTGGAAGCGAGAAATGGCCAGACTTTGTCTCATTTACTTTGGTTATGTTGTCAGAAGGGACCATTCCCTGGCAAAGGATGTTATGCTTGGTAAGGTGGAGGGTCAATGAAAGAGGGGAAGGCCTTCAACGAGATGGATTGACACAGTGGCAGCAGTGATGGGCTCAAGTATAGCAGGGATCGTGGAGCTGGTGCGGGACCGCGTGGCGATTGGTTCTGCTGTGCATAGGGTTGCTGTATGTTGGAGAGGACTGGACCAGTGCAACAGAGTGACAGTGGTGGTAACACTAAGTCCTTAGAAATAGCTCTGAAATCTGTTAAAATTGCAGTTGTTTGTTTGCCAGGAGAAAGAGAGAAAATACTTGGAATGCTTCAAAAGTTATTTTCTTCTCCATGGCCATTTATCTCTGGGGAAGGTAAGTAGGGAGCAAAGGCCGCTATTAACATCATGCCCTTAATCTGTGCTAGAATTGTGCTGAGTCACTGAGCGTGACAGACTTGTGTAACCTGTTGTGCAGATCTTTTTGCAGTTAACCACTTTTGCTGAAAAGCGCCTTCATAACAATGTACATAATGGCTTTTTTCCCCCTGATTTTTCTTTTGTTGTTGTCCTTGAGCATATAGACAGCAAAACATCCACCAGTTTATGTTTCTACAGGCACAATGTAGTGACATTAATGACATTCTTCCAGTTGAATAACCATTCTCAGCCTCCTGTTTTGAGTTGGTCCTCCTCCATTAACATAAACTCCAACCTTTGGAGTTGCTGTTATGAGATCCCATTACAGTAGTTCTTAAAAAAGAAAGCAAAATGTTCAAGGCAGACCTATTTTACTAGTTAAGTTAAACTACTGTTTGTTCATTTTTTTATGTAAGGTTTCAAGATTATGTCACGGCAGTAGGCTCAGGCGTTCATCCAGCCTCTGTGGCTCCAGAAAGGCTGCACTGTTTGACATTTTCTCCTTTTTTGTCAGGATTCTTCCATGGACTCATTGATCAAAATGTTCAGTAATGGTAGCCAGGCACCATCCTGTTCTCCTCTCAGGGCAAAGGAGGCCACTGTTGATGGAAGCAGTTAGCCACACACGCTGTAGCATCCTATGCCTGACTCTCCTTCTACCTCTGTTGCTCCAGGTGAACAAAGACCAAGTATGCCTTCCATAGCTGCTGGCAAGTGCTGAACAGGCTAGGAGGCTGGTTACCTGGGACAGATGGTGACCCTCCAAACCAAGAAGTCTACCACATGAGCTGTTTGGTTGTACCTAAGCAGTCTAATGACTTCCTCTATTTTTTCCAGACATTTGTAATTTTTCATGTGCTACTTTGTTAAGCCCATTGCCCTCCAGTCAGATCCAACTCATAGCGACTCCTCCTTGGGTTTCCAAGGCAGTATCACTACAGAAGTAGATTGCCCAGTCTTCGTTCCCAGGAGTGGCTGGTGAGTTTGAACCGGCAGCCTTCTGGTTAGCAGTCAAATGCTTTAGGCACTACGCCACCAGAGCCCGCGATACTTTGTTCGGAGAGGAAAAGGTGCCTGGTGTGGGGTAGTGCTCTTCCAGACTGTTTGAAGTGACATTAATAAGTGAAATGATAGAGAAGGTGATTTATCCTAAACAATATGGTGTTGAGACAAGGTAACGAATACACTGCTTGCCTAGAAACTGGTCAATAGCTGAGAAACGACTTCAGGAGTAATTTTTTGAGTTTTATAGGAAAAAAAAAATTTAGAGTGTTCCTGCTTTTTGTTTTTTTTCTGCGAGAACTAGACACTCCAAATCCTGGTCGGGGGACAGAGAAGTAAAGTTACAGGTAGTAAATGTTTCTGAAGGTTTATTTTGGGCAACACATTTGAGTCACAGAGCTTCAGTTATGAAGTCGTTTTCTAACGTCCTTTGTATTGTTAGGCCGGGATGCGCTTTACCGTTCTATGTGTACGCTAGGAGCTTACCCACCATGCCCGGTTTTTGGCACTTGGAGTGTTAACTCCTTTTGCTGCACAGTAACGTGCGGGCACGGCCGGTTGGACTTGGTCGGGACGTGCCGCAGGGATTAGTTGCTGAGGTCTGCTATTGCCTAGGGGACTTCAGCACCGTGCACTTTGCTCAGCGCTCCGGCTGCGCCTTTCTCCCGCGCCCGCCTAATCTGCGCATGTGCGGCCAAGCCTCCGCTTGGCCCTCCGCTGGCAGCCTCGCCGCGCCCTTTCACCCGCCCACTCCGTCGGCTGCGTAGCCTCCGGAACGCCCCGCCCCCACCCCAGCCTGTTGGCCGCCAGCACGCTGGGCGGGGCTCTCTGAGGCGAGGCGGCTCGCGTCCGGGGGCGGGGTGTTCTCGAGTGGCAAGCTTCGTGGCCAATCCCTGTGGGATTTTCCCTGGCCGCCCGCCTCGCCGGGTCGCGGCGCCCCTTCCCAGAGCCGGGTGTGAGGTGACGGGTCCGAGTCCTAGAGTGGCACTGTTCCTCTGGACGTGTGTGCGTGCGGGCTCGTAAACTCGCGCTTCCGAGATGGCCGAGGCGTCGGATCAGGCCGTGACGTACTACACCCTAGAGGAGATCCAGAAGCACAACCACAGCAAGAGCACCTGGATCATCCTGCACCACAAAGTGTACGACCTGACCAAGTTCCTGGAGGAGGTGCGCGGCCGCGGGCACGTGGGGGCAGGGGGCACCCGGCCCGGGGCGGGCAGGGGCCGCGCGGGCGGCGCGGAGCCCCGGGGGGCGGGCACGGGTGGGAGACGCGTGGCCCGGGGCGACCGGGACCGGAGCGGCTTGCTGTGCGGCGGAGCAGCGCGGTGCAGCGGCGCACGCTCCCCTGGTCCCCTGGAGCTGAGCCCATGGGGTTTCCACCTGGAGAAGCGGGCTCCTGAAGGCAGCCAGGGCGGCCCGCCCGGCACCTGGAGGGTGCGCGCTGGGTGCCCCGAGCCCCCGTCCAGCTGCCTGCTGACTGCGGGCTGGCATCTGCTTCGCGGTGCGCGCTGAGGCGGCCGGAGAGGAGAGGGGACGAGCGCTGGGCCGTCTCGGGACGGGACCTGATCTTTGAGCAGCTGCCCTGGGCTGGAAGAGAAGGAACCTGTGAGGTCTCGCAGTCCGTTATTGGCTGTGAGCACTAAGGCGTTTTTCTGATTGCCCTGCTGCCCCTGGGTGTGTGTTACCGATTCGAGGGGCTCGAGTCGTGAATCTTGCACAGCTTTCACACGCCCCCCCTCCCCCCGTTAATGAGAACCTTTACAGAGCTTGAGAAACAAGTAGAGGCCAGGTCTTAGCCTGGATCACAGTTTACATCAAGGGAGTTGTTGAGGTTGTGAAAATGAACAATGACGGCAACAACTATTTTTGAGTAAGTTACTATTTATTGGTAAGATAGTTCACTCTTAAGTTTTCATTTGATACAGCAGAGAAGTGTATTCCGGTTTGTGACGGGTGGTTCAGTAGGGAATAAGAATTCCCTTTGGCTGTACCCATTTCGCCCGGTGTGTTTCCCACAAACTCTGCCGGAACCAGAGCTTATTTACCTTAACGATTTCTTGAAATAACTACCCTGAAAAATAACATCAGGTCTGATTGACTCTAAGTGTCTCTGTACACCTGCACACGTACACACACACACACACACCCCGTGTAATTCAGGGATTCTCAGATACCAGTCTGTACTTTGTGTATTATGTCTGTAAAAAGAGTGACATTCACACAAGAATGATAGCACATTTTATACTATGAGCAGTTCCTTTTTTTCTTTGTTTTTTCCAATAAACCATCCAGTTTGCCTTATACCTCCTCCTCAAACAGGGTTTCTCAGCATTGGCATTATTGGGATTTAGGGCTGGGTCAATCTTTGCCATGAAGGCTGTCCTATACAGAGTCCAATGTTCAGTGGTGTCCTTGGCCACTAGCTACTGGATGTCAGTGGTACCTCCCCCTGTGAACCAAATATATCTCCAGACATTGGCAGATGTCCCCTGGGGGCAAACTTGCTTTGTGAATCTATGCCCTAAATGGAATCATGCATGACATGTAAGGGTCAGCTTCTCAGGTGGAGATCATAAGAAAGAGAAGATTATTTTTAAAAGTTATTATCAACCGTTTACTTTTGCCATTTCCTCCTGAAAGGCAGGGTTTGTGTGACAGTTCTCTGAGCAGACTGGGGGTAAATTGGTGAGAACACATTACTATATTCTGCTTTCCCGCTCAGTTTTCGACCCCCCCCCCCCAAAAAAAAGGTAACTTGGGGGGAATCCCTCTCAAGTCATCTGAGAGAACTCAAGGAGCTCTGGTGGTGCAGAGGTTAAGCACTCGGCTACTAAACAAAAATCCGTGGTTTGAACCCACCAGCCACTCTGCAGGAGAAAAATGCATCCCTAAAGATCAACATCCTTGGAAACCCTATGGGGCAGTTTTCCTCTGTCCTCTAGGGGCGCTGTGAGTCGGAATCAGCTAGGTTGCAGTGGCTTTGGTTTGCTTTGGTATCGTGACTGAAAGATCCGTGATTTGGATCCACCTGCTGCTCCATAGAGAAAAAGACCGGTAAAGATTACAGCCTAAGAAACCCTTGTGGGCAGTTCTACTCTGCCTGTAGGGCCACTGCAAGTTGAATCGACTGCACACATAACACCCACCTCTGACGTGAACTTAGCCTCTGCTGTTATGCGAGAGATCTCCACGTGCTATGAATTCATCTGTCCGTATGTCCAGTAAGATTTTTCATAGCTGATTATTTGTACTTTCTTCCTGAATGTCCTAGATTTGCATGCTTGTCTACGTTCATGTTGGGAGAATGTACCTGTGGTGCTTGGAAGCAGGTCACGCTCAGATTCTCTGTCCAGTGGGAGGATGGTGATTGTGCCAGCTTCACAGGGTGGTCGGGGGAACGGAATCCTCCTCTCTCACTCCCTCACTACGTAGCAGGCCAGTTGTGTGAGCCTGGGGGATGGCAGCTGTTACATGTTCGTAAAGCGCAGCAGCAGGGTCAAGGCTGGGGCGGAGGTTACTTTCTGAGGTGTCATATGTAGCTGGGAGCTTACTGTGAGTTTCCAGGTGAAGGAGTAAATCTGGCAGGTGATGCTGAAACAGTTGTTGTTAGATGCTGTTGAGTAGGCTCTGACTCATAGTGACCCCGTGTGCAGCGGAAGGAAACCCTGTCTGGTCCTGCGCCAGCCTCACAATCCTCGCTCTTCCTGAGCCCCCTGTTGCAGCCACCGTGTCAGTCCATCTCGCTGATGGCCTGCCTTTTTCACTGACCCTCCACTTTGCCAAGCATGATAGCCTTCTCCAGGAAACAGGAGAATGCTGTGAAAATTCTGTCCTTCCACTCCAGACAACAGGTTTGCATTTCTAAGTTGCATAGGGTTGCACATGAGAGCATTCTCTTCCCGAAATACTGGCCGGATAAAGTTGTTTGGTTGTTCCGGGAGAGGGCTAGAAACCTGAGAGGACCTGGCTCCTGATGCAGGGCCATTGAAACAGCAGCAGGTGTTCAGCTGGGATCTGACACTTCCCTGCACCATGAGGAACTTCGCCGTCTACCTGTTCTGACCCAGATGTCTTTGCAGTCCTGAGTCCTGGATTTTGAATTTATATTCATGCATAGGGTCTTGCCGTCTGTGAGTACGTTAGTATCAGGATAAATGACTGTGGAGCATTGAGGGATGGTTATTTGAAATGAAAATACAACGTTATTGTTCTGGAGAAAGTACAACATGATTATTGTAAAGAATTGAACAATGTAGAAAAGTGCAAAGAAAAATTCAAAACCCACCCAGAGGTAACTCCGGTGAGCGACTGTGTGACTTGGAGTTGGTGAACGCTTATCCAGATGCTCTATCGACACACATACTCTACCTGAATATATTTTTCATGAACGGTAGCAGACTCCAATGCTGTTTTGTAATCTGCCATCCCCCCTCCCTTAATATACATAAGTGTATATGTTGAGAGTACCATTCCATGGCAGTACGTCCTATGCTCTTGGCTGTGTCCTTATTACATGGATGTAGTGTTATACGTGTAACCACTCCTCTCTCCTACCCATCTGGTTGTTTACTTTCTCACCTGTATAGTTATGTCTTTATGGTCCATTTTTCCCTGGGACTGTTCATGAAAGCCTGTGTACCCTTTACTTTTTGATACATGTCACCAGAGTGGTGGTACCTGTGACCACTCCCAAGTGCTGACACACCAGTGATAGCTTGTTCCCCAACTCTTGGTTCTTTAAATGACTGAGAAACTTGCCTCTGATTACTGCCTCATGTCTTGAATGGTTTAAGTGTGTACTTCTCATCATAAGGAAAATGTACAGAAGATAATTTTTAGCCCTGTTAGCTTGTTGATTCCCTTAGAGTACAGCTGTTGCAAGCTGTACCACATATATCCTCGAGGACTTTTCAAAGCCTTCAGGAACATGGCTGAAATGAGAATTTTAATAGCAATGGTTAAGAGCTGTCTCTATGTCCTAAGAAAGTATGTTTGAACTTGGCTTTCTTGGGAATATAAACTTCAGTGTATTTATCAACTGGCTACCTGTACTCTTCACTAAGTAGCATGTTAGGAACCAGGGAGAAAAAGCAAAGAGGAGCTTTGGGAAAAAAAAAAAAAGAAAATTCTTGGACGATAAAAGAGCAAAAATGTGCCTTTCTCCCCATCTGCTATAATTTGCTGTGCTGCCATCAGTTCTCTGGGGGAGCCCTCAAGGCTTCCGTGTGTGGCCAGCTGGCCTGGCCTTGAGAATTGGGGTGGTATGTTTAGGAGATCGTCCACGTATCGGAGCTCTGGCTTGCATGTGCGTGAAGAGAGTAAACATTGCTGCTCTTTCGGAAAAGCCTTCTTTAGTAACAGCCCCCCAAGAATTGTTCTCATTGGTGATCTGCAAGGAGGCCACTGATCTTCTAGGAATCCCAGAACGCCTCAGGTGAGCTCCTGCCTGCTCCCCTCCTGAGACTCCTCACACCTTCTACACAGATTAACTGAGACTGGATCATAGGTCTAAGTATAAAATTTAAAACTTTTGGAAGAGATTTAGGGGTAGGCAAACAGTTCTTAGACATGACACCAAAAGCACGATCCATATTGGAAAACAATGCATAAATTGGACTTCATGAAATGAAAAGCTCTGTTCTTTTGAAGACTCTTTTAAGAGGGTAAAAAGAGAAGCTACCAACCAGAGAAGATTTTTCCAAATCATATCTCTGACAAGGATCTTTCTAAACTCGGTGATAGGAAACAACAATCCAGATAGAAATTGGCAACAGACTTGAGCAGACGTTTCATAAAAGTGAGGTACATATGGCCAATAAACACAAGGTGTTTACCATAATTAGCTGCTGTGGAAATGCCAGTTCAGACCACAGTGAGATACTGCACCTCTACTAGAATAACTAGATGAAAAACACTGATGATACCAAATGCTGGCGAGGACGTGGGCATCTGTATTGCTCATACGTTGCTGAGAGGAATGGTACAGACCCTCTGGAAATCAGTCTGTCAGTTTTAAAATTTAAACCTGTGCTTCCCTTGTAGCCAAGCTGTTCCTTCCTGTGCATTGATCCTAGGGAAATGCAGACTCTACACAGACCCTTGCACACAGATTTCAGAACAGCTTTGTTTGTAGTAGTCAGAAACTTGAACCAACTCAAAAATCTTTC